GTATACTATGTTTTATTAATTAGTTTAATTTACATTACTGTAACTAAAGTATATTTAGTGAAATTTTGGTGTAATTGCATGATTAATTTAAACAATCGGGTAGAGCAATATCTAAATGCACTTTTGAACATTTATCCGCAATAAAAAAATAAAAGAACAATTCTAGTGATAGGTATTGGCAACAGTTTAGAAGACCGCTGCGATATGCATATGACCAGTTAAATGGAAATTAAGTCATTGCAATTTCAAAATAGAAAATTGGATTAAAAGCCATCGAAATGAAAGAACAACTATGCGGAAAAAGGCATTTAAAATAAAAATACGTCAAAGTACACCTGTGTCGACACCTTAAGAAATATGTACAGTAAAATCTTCTTTAACAGACACCTCTCTAATGTATAGTGCCGTTTTTGTTCCCATACGAATAATATAGAGCAAGACCTCTACTCAACGGGCTAGATTCTCTGTTGGAAGGATCCAGACGATTCAAATATGCAAAACTGACTAATAAAAAATCTCTACTTAACGGACACATTCACAAAAATATACGTTGCAACAATTTAGGGACTTCCCGGAGTCAATTGGCCAGTGTAGTATCCTAAACACCCTGTTAGTAGATTAACAGACCGTTACTGTATTAAATTGTAACCTTCATACATGCAATTCGGTAGTTGTAAGATATTTTTTGGATAAAAATAAAAAAAATCGACGTAATTCGACTTATCAGAAAGAAAAGTTGAGTGTTCGTGAATTATCGAAAAAGTTTAACATCAGTAGCAAAAAAGGAACTATTAGAGAAAATACCCATATCGAACAATATGTAATAGTGCTCAGTATTGTATATACATTAATAATTATGCATTCAAAATTTGTTAGAATGTACCTACACATCTATCGAAATTTGAATTACGTAAAAGCTACAGTCGCATTGGCGTCACCAAATCTATTCTTATCGTTTATACAGAAACGTAAGAAAATGGTTTTTGCAATGTATGTATTTGAAATAAGTATAAAATTGTACTGAAAATTCATCTAAAATCCAAAATTAGCATGTTCCAAAAAGCGTTTTGTTAATAAAATTGTTCTATTGTGTACTGTAAAGATGCAAGGTTTATGTGGGGAGAAATCGGGTAATTTGATTTCTAATGCGACTATATTCATATACGGATAAGACAAAAAAGTGCATCGAACATAGAAATTACACATTTCATTGTTGACAATTTTTTCTTTTTATGCCGCACGAACGAAAATACATAATATATTCATTCAACGTTTATCTGAAAATGTCACATAGTATCTCAAAGTAACAGAACTCTCAAAATCTTTTAAACAAAGCGCTACACCCCTCTGAGGTTTTGTGGATTAAAATGACACCTAAACGCAATGTTCTAACTTTAAAAGAGAAAATCGACGTGGTTAGACTTACCAGAAAGAAAAGTTGAGTGTTCGTGAATTATCAAAAAAATTTAATATCAGTAGCAAAAAAAGGAATTATTATTACAGTGGATTTCATTTATTACAACATTGGTTATAGAGACCATTGTGCTATAACGACCTCATTAGTAGTCCCTTGAATTTAAAGCCCACTTTAATACAAAATTCATGTGGCTATAGCGACTTCGGATGTAACGCCGAGTTCGGGTGTAACGACTGTTTTTAATGAATCATTTGTAACAAATCCCTAGTAAGCTCAAGCAGAGGTTTCTTTTGTTTTGTTTACATCCACACAGATAGTCAACAACTATGGTAACCTTTACTGTTGTTTAGTAAACTTTTGAATAAGTGTAACTTCCAGGCGTACATTAACTGTTAAAAAAAGCGAAAATTGTTTCAAAATTGAAAAACAATGTGTGTCTGTATCTTTTTTAACTTTGCCTGTAACGTCTTCTGGATATAACGACGAAATTGCAGTGGTCCCTTCGTGGTCGTTATACCCGAAATCCACTGTATTAGGTTACGTTAGATTAGGAAGGTGGTGCAGTAATCGAGGGAAGGCATATTAATGATAGATTATATTACGAATGGTTTACTGCGCCAAAAAGAAAAGGTATGCCATTTAGGTAGGATACATAGACAAGTACATTTCCTTAGTAAACATATGTAGGTTAAATAATGTTTCTTTTTTCTTCTATGCGGATACCTCTTATTGCCGGTTCAACGAGTGTCCACTCAAGGGAGATTTCACTGTATATTGTTTTTCATAAAGACGAAATGTAAGATTTTGTCTAGAAATCCCACAAACTTTTTTAAATAAGTTTTTGTCTTGGGTAAGTCTTTTAACCTTTGGCTGGGAATCGCATAACTGTTAAGTATTTCCTGAGGACTCTGAATATACGCTACTGACTACTGACTTCTACAATTTTTTTTAATGATTTTCTTTTTTGCCATGCGCTTAGTGCAATGCATATATGTAATGTTATAATAACAATAAGCAGTATGTACTTCATCTGTCTGACAAGCTCTCAACACAACCCTTCCTTGTAGACACAAATAGGCACGTGTATGACGTATTAAGTATTGTACTATCGCAATCGTACGTTCAATGAATTATAATTACGTGTAATAAGAAACAATACTACAACTCATCATCAAATTGCTTTCCAAACTTCCCATTCAACGCAAGGTTCAGTTATGTCGGCGCAATCACCCCACAAAATTTGCCATTGCGAATTTATAATTAAGTTCTTCTATTTGCAAAATGAAATTATGATAGGTAGGTGTAGGTGGTCAATTCGATCAAGTATTTAATTTGTTGCGTAAGTTATTGTAAAACTAACGGTTTTAAAGAAGAAATTCTACAAATTTATTTAAGAAAATTAGTCATTATTTTGAAATTCCTCTAAAATTACAATAAAAATTTGTTTAAAATATCGATCAATTGAAATAACAACTTTAGTAGCGCTCTTCCATAGCCTTTTATCAATATTATGGTACATCTACCTACGACTGACTGGATTCTTACTTACTTATGTATTTTGAATGTGAGAAATAATATCAATCGTATTAATATTTGCTTTTATTATATATTTATGCAGAAAATTATTGTCAAAAACTGAATAATTCAAATTGTTTGATAGAATTACTGTACCTACCAACAAAAAAATATGGGTAGGTATATTAATATTCACGTATCATACAATGACTACTTAATAGGTACGTATCCTTTATTCATTTACTAAGAAATGGCTTCTTTTAAAATAACTTTGATACTCCCAGGGTTGCAAAACAACAGTTTTTTATTATAATTGTAAAAGAAACAGTTTCAAAACGTTTTGAACATGTTTTATACAGTTTTTTTACGTTTATTTTAAACACATATTGTAAACGTTTTAAACTTGTTTTAAACAAGTTTTTTATACTGGCGTGTTGACGTCATTAACTAATTGTTTTTAACAGTGTTTAAAACACTGTTTTAAACATGCCAACCCTGGCGATCTCTAAATAATGCTTAACAAATTTTTGATCTTGCAGTTAACTGGGTACCTAGATACCTATTTATTTGTTGAATTTTTGAGGACTTCTCCAGAAAATCTAAAAGACTGGAAAACTTTGGTGGTGTTGTAAAACACTTTACAGAAGAAAAGTAAGTGCAACATGGAATAGGAGATTAGGTAAATTAATGATGATTCAGTTTTATTGGTCATTGGTGAAGTTTAAAGAATTATTGGGTGTCTATGCTCTAAGATTATATTTGCATTATACCTATATACTTGTATATATAGATCACTAACCATAGGTTAAACCTATTTCAATTGCAGGTAATTTAAATTATTTTTATAAATAATTTATTAAAAGTGGAACACTTAATAAATAATAATGCATAAATAATAACAGTTCAGCAAAAATGGCTCTTTTAAATATTAAAGTATAATTATTTAATCTCCTTCAAAATTAGCTTCCAAACACTTCAAACGCTTTAATATTTAAATTATAATTATTGCTAAAATAGGTTATAAAAAAAACCCTAAAACTAGTTCTTCTAGTAGTTTGTTTCGAATACAACTTGAAATGTTTTCCCAGAATTTGTATTTCAAATTAATTAGAATTAGGTATTTTAATACAAAAGATAGCGATTAAAACTAAATGATGCTAGAGCAACATAAAAAATAAAAATTTAAAATAACAAAATTTAACATTTCAAGTGCAATGTATTCAATTATCAGGGTGTTCATAGGTAAATACAATAATTGGAAACTATACCTTGACTGGCTGCTATCGACGATAAGCACAAATATAATGAAATTATCACCAAAGTACTACTACACTCTAACCACAATTTCGCCATTTTTGTTTTCTAAGTTGAGTAAACCGCACAGCAAATAAATTGAGTGAAGTTTCGAATGAAGAGTTTGGTTTCTTTCACATTTACAGCATGCTGACACGAACAACTACTACTGCGTACTGCGCTGTTTTGTTCATAGATAGTTTTGTTATTAGTTTGTTACCAGTCAATCTGACACATACTAGTTCATAGACTATGTTCTTGCTTACAGCCATAAATAAATACTTATTACTTACAATAGAGAATAGTACTGTTCATTATCATAGATATTCACTGCTGCTATTCCGCTTATTTCCCTAGATTACGCTCAGGTCTGACTGAGGTGATATTAAATTTGTTAATTTGTAAATTAGGAATCGACAAATACGAAATGAAAATCAATTTCACTTGCAAAGAGATATCATTTCTACTTAACAATCAATTTTAGGAACTTTGTATTACAAATAAGAAGTATACTCCATTCTTCTTCGAATTTCAATTTTTTTAATGTTTCATGATTCATGTACTTAATTATTCGAATTTAATTACCTAAAAAAAAATTAGTAAAATCGGCAAAATATTTGTTGCGTTTTACATATATGCTACGCGCAAAATCCTGTGCATATGTGGTTGTATAAACTAAGTATACTCCAAATATTATTATTATCATTAGGGAAATAATGTACTATCTATTGTCTATCAATATATGTTCTAAATCTGTTAATATTAAAATGTAAGTTAGAATATTGGGATTAATATAAGAAAAAAAATTGAGTGAATTTATAATCTTTGCTATAGTTAATCTATCGCGTAGAGTAAAATGTAACATAACCTATAAACAAAATGATTACTCCTTTTGACGACTTTGTATATTTAATTAATAATGTACTTTTAGGTGAAGAACCAGTAAGTAGATTTTATTTGCTTTTAAGTTTTATATTAATTGTTTTATTTTAGAGCGTTGAAGATTTCATTCTTCTTATTGGTACTGTAGTTGCATTTGTCGCATTTATCCTGTGGTGTTGTTTCCCTGTTGTCCCAAAAGATTCCCAGGCACCCATGCATTATGAAGGCAAGGATTATCAAATAAAACATCCTCAACGGAAGTATGAGTATTGCTCAACCTGAAGATGAGAATTCCATTTATTAATAAGTACCTACACTGTCTGCTTTTTTGGAAAATAATTTAAATTGTAAAAGTGACCAAAGATCTCTGTTATTTATGGTATTATTAATTTAGTATAATTATAGTCAACTAGTAATTAAATAAGTAATTTAAAACAATGAATAAGTCATCTAGTCAAATTAAAATTTAGTTTATGTATTATAACCATGAATGTAATAGTGCCAAAGTATGTTGTTAATGGAAAAAATTGTGGGTAATAAGATGGTACTGTACCTTGTTAATTTTCATTATTATTAATGATTAAAGAAGTAAAAACTGTAAATTGTTTATTTAAATAATCAGTCGTATATGATTCATTAAAAACTATATGGAAAAGTAAAATCAACACTCTGAGCTCTCTTCCTGTTCAAACTTTGCGATATTACATTCATTATCTGTTGATGCTGCTGATGATACAGCATCTAAATCACACTTCTCATCTAGCTTTGTTTCATCAATAGGTATTTTAATGTGTTGATGATAAATTGGCTGAAAAAAAATTATAGAATAATAAATGATTGATTTTTCCTCAATGTGATAAAATATTTGTTGTTAAATTTACTTGAACGGGCAAGTTAAACATCCATTTGCCAACAGCCATATTTTCTAAATTAAGGTGTTTCCTTTGCCGCTGAGTTCCTCTTAATCTAAATATAATTTCACTGGATCTTGCTAATAGTTTTAATTCCACCAATGCTTTATATGAATTAGATAATCGGGCTTCTTTTAATAAAAGATACAGCTCCTTTTCTGCTATCAGTTCCTTAAAGTAAAACGTCAATCAATCCCCCCTCCTTTAAATTATGTCTTTCCAATTACAAAAACTACTTTAAAATGTTAAACTAATCTAATTAGAAATATAATAAATTAAAAAATGCAAAGCAATACTTTGAAACGATTCTGTTGTATGATCTCATGTTGAGCCTCTTGAATACGTAATCCCCAATTTCTGTAGTATTTAGTGACTGTATCCAAAAGAAACGAATCCAGATCAATTGGTTGCAAATTTTCATTGATTAAATCAATTTGAATTTCTGACCATACCTCACCCAATTTGAGTAATAAATAATTTTGTGCTAACAATAGGCTAATCTAAAAATTATAGTTTTAAAATATTCATGTAATAAGTAGTGAACTACCTGTACTTGGTCAGTAATAGAAACCCTTTTATCAAAAATATGATATTGTTCATTACACATTTCTACTTTCTCTTCATGAATGAAATTTAAAATTTGAAGAAGTGCGTATACTTTCGATCTGCAACTGCCCAATAAATCAATTGTAGATGGACTCGCACTTGAATTTTTATCTTTTCTTTCAATTTCTTCTTTCTGTTTATGTCCACATATTGGCCATTCAGGATCTTGTATAAAACAAAATAAGAGGGGATTTCGTTACTATAATTGGGGACAATTTGTAAGAAATATCACAATACCTTTTATGATACAATTTTCATTTACTTTAACTTTTAACATTCTATTTTCTTCCATAAAAATATCAATCAGGAGATTAAGAAAAGTTTTCCCTCGTGATCTCCAAGTTACGACGTAAGGAATACATGTACCTTCTTCACATAAATCGACCAGTAAACCAAGAGCAACTGCTTTTACAGCCATTGTGCAATTCTATAATATTTTTTAAATAGGCTGCATTTAACATTATCAGTGAATTAAAATATAAGTACTACTTGTATATCTTTCCTTGTCATTTAATTATTATATTTATTAGAAATTGGATATTTTGTTTCGATACGGTTTATATTTGCTTTTAAGGGAAAAACAATTTTCAGTCACATCATTGAAAAAGTTAGCGATTTTTGTTCAGTCTTTTATTATGGAAGTAAAATATTCAGCATGCAATATAATAATTTGCATACACTTGTGGCAAGTCAAGAACCTAACATAAGGATAATCTATTACATGTAATAATCAATGGGCACCAATATCTGATGAAAAATACGAAGTGGCATAGTAAAATTCGTACAAATACCTTCAGTCATCAATTCGAATATTATTCAGAAGGCGTACGAATTTAGTTTCTCATAACAGTACACGTAACATGTTTTAAAGCAAAAAAAATGAATCTAGTCCTACAGGCACCCAACAGTAAAATTGATCAAACTACCTTAATAATTACAGTGGCATATTAGAAATATAATTAACTTGCCTTAATTGTATCAAGTAGAATAAAAATTCCACTATTAGCAATGAACGAATCAAAAGATTTATCAAAAGAAGTAAGGCTATTCCATAAAAGTCTAATGTGTGTTACTAGCATTTTATCGTTGGCAATGACGTCTTCTTTAGTTGGATTCAAAACCCTTTTAAGTAGTTCTATATGAAGTATCATTAAGAAGTCTTTTTGCTTGTCGACATTCATTTTGTTAAGAATAAAAAATATGTACATTAAACACTTTTGAGATGACTGCCTTAAACTGTTTGCCATCAGCTGCTCCCATATACCTCATAAGAGCAATTATTAATAATTAATCAAGTTAGTAATTCCGATTACGGAAATCTACCTACATAGTAGTATTTCAACACAGTGATTTTTTTCAAGTTCTTCGATCATATTGCGAATACGAACTTCGGTTAAAAATTTTAGAAAATGCAGGGCACTTATTAGCGCATCATTGCTGTATGGTTTAATGGTGTAATATTCAATCATCATTAGAGTTCTTAAACGATGAATTTTTGAATACTTTTTGTGAAAAAAATAATTAATAACGTATACCTTACTGGTCCATTATTGTTCATAAATTCACTTGATAATTGCTCAAGATATAATTGTAGAACATAAAATGCTAAACGAAGTAAGCCACAATAGAAATCTGGTCTCCAGGGAATATTCATTCCTGGTGTAATTATTCGGAGTAATCCAGGAATAACTTTTCTAGTTTTAAGTAACTGAAATTAAAATAAAAATGAACATTATTTTGTGCACATCTTGTGAAATTGTTTTTTAAGTTTTAGTTAACCACAATAGGATAATAAAAAATTACACTGTTTTAGTATTAGAGAAAAGTAATTCGACATTCACAAGAAATACACTTAGTATTTAACAACATTGATTTAAAACAATTTTGGAAACTTTTAATCTTATTTGAAACTGTAATTTGCGTTATCCTTTTTATTTCTATAGCATTATTGTAGAACAAGTTCTTTAGAAAATTTAAAAATCAAAATGTAATATTTTTCCCGTTTCGTTTTGTTCCGTGATTATTATGTTCATAGAAACAAGCAAAGAAATTACATTTAGATCTATATCTCTTGATTTCAAGCATAATGCTATCAGTAGCATTCTCTTAAATTCATAATCCCTTTCATCTGGTAGAAATGTAACTGTAGAAGCCCAAGTGCCTGCAGTACCCATTTCAGTTGCAACACTTAAAAGAGCAAGATCTAAAAGAAGTTAAGGTGCCCTCAATTGTCTTATTAAACATTGGTTTTCACGGTATTTATTACCATTTGCAAAACCGCATGTATTTAAATTTGATAGTAAAGGGTGGAGCGACAGTATTTTTAAAAAAATTGCCAAAATACTATTTCGTTCCACCTGATATCCTCTCCATTTCGTATACACTCTCAATATCAATAAAAAATTTCTAAAATGGAATTGTAGTATTATACATAATTTAGTATTAGTACTAAATTAATTTTGTTTCAGTTTTTAAGTAGACATTTATGAATTTTTTAAAGTTTACTTTTATATAAAAGTAATTATTAAACTAAATAAATATAAAGCCAACAAAGTGTGTAACAATAGACAAAATTTCCTTACTTTAAAGCAGTGGATGTCGGCCATATGACAATTTTTTTAAAATTGGAAAAATTTTCCTTAATGCTATCTAACAGCAATGCTATTAAGTTTGTTACTGTGAAATAGTGCTCAATAGATGTCGTTTCAATTTCAGTTTCAAAACGTTCCTCACGATCACATTCTTTCCATTTTGGATAAAAACGGAGCATTAAGGGTGTTAAAGCAGCAGACATAACAAACTTTTGACCTGTAACGGAAATATTTTACAAATTAACGTATTACTTTTGTAATTAACTAAAAATAAGAAAATCTTTTTCTAAATAAACAACTTATGTTGGAGTCTCTTATTCAGTTTCATAAGTGGTCTCTTACTACTTAAACAAAACACCAAAATCCGATATTTCTCTAGCTCTCGCAATAGCATCAGTACCTACGCTATAGTTATAAATTATACTATCCCTAGATCTGGAAATTACGCCACAATTTTTAAAATTTATTAGAAGCCTATTAACATCATAACAGTTTGATAAAGGTTCTATGTCTGTCTGCAGAGATACGCAATCGGTTACGTTATTACGGTAATTTTCTAAATTAAATTATATACCTACATATTATAAAAAGATATCAAGTTATGTATCAAAGGTAAAAAAATTCATAGGTGCATTATATTGGAAAACTTACATATAGGTTTTGATTTCTCTGCCAATTTATAAGCAAGGTTCAGAAGTTTTTTATAAAGTTCATCATTAGAGTCGACAAACATATGCGCTATAATTTCTGGCAAATTACTTTTCTCAATTGCATCTCGACAAGATTGTTCCGAAACAGAAATTTCGGTATCCATCGTTTTTCTTAAAATTAAACATGTGATAACATAGATGATAATATTCTGATATTCTTCTTCCACAACCATTAAAAAATATCCTTAAGTAATTATTTTATAAATTTTTATAGGGCAATATTAATCAATATAAGAATACCTAGAACATTAAAAAATTCTTCTAAATGAATACCATACCAAATGGCCTCAGTAGATTTTTCTTGTAAGGGTGGAATTGAACAAAGCATCAATATTCTTGGAAAGTAAGGCTCAAAAACAGTATAATCATGTTTTTTTTCAAAAAGTATTTCCAGTAATCGTGTAACATAAGGAAGTTCTGTAAGCCACTAAAGAAGATCAAGAAGTAAGTTAAATATGATGACATTCTAATTCTTATGACGATTTTAAGACAAGAGTATATAAGGATTGTGAATGTTTGTAATAATTTTGAGATCACTTCTATTACATGTTTGAATTGGTACAAACATCTGTTACAACTGGAAACAAATGTCAAAAATATTTTAGTTAGAAAGACATCAAAATTTAACAATTATAAGTTTAATTCAAACTGTGAGTTTTAGGATTTTGAATAATTTGTTCATGACATGATGCTTTAAATTATACATTTGCAATTAACAACAACCATGAAGCTTCAAGTTTCTTTTTTAGTTACTTTTATACTTAAACTGTAAGATCGTCGTAGGACACCTTATAAAAATAAAACACTTAAAAGCATACAAATGCATATGTTGTCGCTCTCAGTAATTCATCCAGATATTCTAAATGTCGATCTATATTAGTTTTTGTGGCAGGATGTTCCAGCAATTGAACGAGTTTCTGAATGGTAATACGAGAATCATTCACTTTACATTTTTGAAAGGAAATTTTAAACTTATCTCCAGTTGCCATTTTATTAGTTGTCAAGTGAATATCTACCTTAAATTAAAAATACAATTGATTTTTCCAAACTAATTGAACTCCTTTTAATTATTATAGGTAAGATAACTATTGCACATAGAAAAAAAACAGTTAAATTGCAATATTTTAAAATTATATAATGTCCAGCAACATACTTTGGCAATTTATTTGATATTAATTAATTAATCTAATAGGTTACTTACATGTAGATATACAATTATAACCTTTTTAGGACTAGCTATCTGAGAGGTTTGTGAATTTTATTTTAAAATCGTAACGTGTAAGTATTTATTCAAAATAAAACTCAAATTCATTTCAAATTCAACCAAACGTCAAACCTATGATTTAAATTTGGTGTTGCTTAATTCTCAATTGGTCTGTAAGGTATATTCATATTATTTACCACGCTTACCTAATACCATCTAATAACGGCTAGAATTTTAGTGCTTATTATTTCCAATCAATAATTAATAAATTTAAATTTATAATTACTGCAGAAGTATAAAAAAAAAATATTTAATTATATTTACGTATGAGGTTCAGATTCAGCCACTATATCAGTCAACTTTAACGGAATAGTACTAATGAACAAGTACCCATAGAGATAAACTAGCTATAGTCTTTTTTCTCGGGGAGATTTTTGAACGCACCCTTCAGGTGACGTTTGCTGTTTAACCGTTTCATTTAAATTCGAATCATACAATTATATCAAATATCAACTGTATTTTACATTTTTTATGTTGTTATAACAGGTATAACTGCAAAATATATCTTTACGGATAGATTCCTAGGACATAATCATATCAGATTAAAACAAGTGTAAATATGTGTTAAACAGTTTGTGTTAGATAAGTAAATTAACCTATTTCTTAAAAAAAATGAGTTTAGAAGAATCTTTTACATTATTAAGCAGCATGTCACCAAAGTTATTGACAAGTAAAAGAATCAGGAAAAATGGTAATACTAAGCAAAATTCATTTGTATTTAACATGAATATGCTGTTTTACTTTTAGTGCCGAAAATTTTATCTTTAAAGAAGCCAATTCAAAAATCTTCCATGTTATACAAAACTGAGTGTAAAAAAAACGAGAGTATTATACTTGTAGAAGAAAGTTCTTCAGAGACTGTGTCTACTCTGTCTAGCACTTCAATTGATAAAAAAAGCGACATTAACAATTCCACTATTATTATATCTGATTCAGAAAATTCAGTTGTAACTATTGAAGATTCGTTTTCTATACTGGAAATTAACACACAGAAATGCAGTTTGTCAGACACAAAGTTTGAAAAAGTCGCTGAATGGGTATCAAAAGTAAATAGTGAATTAAAAGATGTTGATTATTACAACAGTACCTCTAAACTAGAACAATCTCTGGGAAATGTCCGTAATCAATTAACTCAGAATTCTGTAGATAATTATAAAGAAATGAATGCTAGAGAAGAGTGTGTTTCGAAAACACCAGATAAAAATGTAAAAGAAAATAACTGCATCAAAGATAAACCTGTCCAGTTGAATGATACAAGTGTTTCTCTGTCATTAAGAATTTCAATAAATGATAGTAATAATTCAGCTGAAGTTGTCCCTAAAAAAGGTAATAAGCATAAAAAACTAAGATAATTATTTTGATTTAGTGAAAAAAGAGATGGGGTGTAGCTATATTTTTTACTGTTTGAATTTTCAATATTTGCTGTAGAAAGCAATGCATTAACATTTTAAAAATATTTGTAGATGTTTTCTTAGATTAATTTCAGTTTTCATACTTTTTAACTCTGTAGGTAGTAACACTTTTAAAAAGCCAAAAAATGGAATTAGTGATAGAAATGAAGGATCAGAAAAATCTGTTGAGGATGTATTGGACGATATTTATGGCGATTGCTGGCGAGAAAATAAAGATGTTATATTACAACAAAGTGAAAGAAAGCAGGAGAAAAATTACATTCCAAATAACTTAAAAAAAGTCGCCCTAACTGACATGTAAATAAACAAGAGTATTGCTTTTAAAAAGTAAAACATCTTGCTTTGTACTTTCTTTTTAGAAAAGGCAGAACAAGAACTCCCACCTACAAACATAAGAAAGCGCCGTGGATTGATTTACTAAAACAAGTTTGTGATCCAGATACTAGTACTTCTGATGAAGATGATAATTGCAAATATTCTGACATTCGTACAAAGCTCGATTTTGAAGAAAGAGAAAATATTTCACCTTTATTTGCAAAAAGTAGTACAACTAATTTCAATTTAAATAAAGAAAATATTGATTCCCCAAAAGAGAATCTTTTTGGTGACGTTGGTGAAGACTTTTTAAGTTTAAAAGATAGGCTATTGAGAAAATTGAAGGATAATGGCAATTGTAATGAATTAGACAAAAATAACTGTAGACTGATTGAAAACAATCTGCTTGATGATATTCATTTTGACAAGGAAAATGTAGATGTTATGAATAATAAAAAAGGTATTAGAAAAAAACCGATAAAAAGAAACACTGCTAAGCCTGAAGATAAAAAGAAGAAGAATAGCAATAGAAGAGAAAAAGTTGATAAAATAATAGACTCTGACTTCGACGATGATAATGATGTACAAAAATATAATAAAAACAATAAAAAGTACTTTGAAGAAAGTTTAAGACAGGCATCGTTTTTATCGTCTTTATCAGGTAGTAGAATACAAAATAAATAAAATTATCTAATTTTATAAAGATAATTGCTTTTTTATTTTAGGTTCTTTACCTAAACACTGTTGCGACCCTTCGGCCTTAATATTCCGGAACAATTTTAAAACGCTCAAAGATGAGCTCGCAAAAAAGTTATTCTCAATGTACAATGAAAAAGTGTTTGATAGTCAGATTCCATCTGATACATTAATTCAATGGAATGATAGAATGAGAGGGTCCGCTGGGTTTTGTTATTGTGTAAAAACAACTTCTTCTCAGGGCCGGATTACTAGAAAAGTACGAATAGCTTTGGCTACAAAAATTCTGGACTCGGCCGATAGGCTCCGAGATACACTGATTCACGAGATGTGTCATGCTGCCAGTTGGATCATCGATAGCTTGTCAGATGGACATGGACCCGTGTGGCAAAAGTGGTAACTTGGTTTTTAAACAATTTTTCTGGTTAATTATTATTTTATTTTTGTGGATTAATATTTTTAATGTTTTAAAAAACTTTAATATGTTGTCGNCTATAAAAAAGACATTGTAAATAGTAATCCATAACTTAATAACAATTTGGAAGGGGTGTTTGCAGGTAGGTAGATAGCATGTATATGTACCAAAAATTAAAAAAAAAAAAGTAGGAGACGACTGGTCATAGGGGGTGACAAAATGCGCGCCATAATAAGAAAACATGTATTGGTCAAATTTTTGCAAGAAAAAGCTCGAGTTGTGGAGACGAGCATTTCTCTACACTACAGGGATGTTTTGAGTACTAATTGAGCTAGATTCGCGTCATGAATCGGAAACTTTTAAGTGCAACGATATTAAAGAGTTAAAACTTAAAGATCAGTTGTTGAGATCAGGTGTTCTTTGTGACAAGCCTAAAAACAATATTCTGAATCTCAACTTTTGTTGCATATATATTTTTTTTTACGTTTGTCGTATTTCAGCTCGACAAATTAATCCGGTATTCCAATAAGTAAGTTAAATACCTGTATCTATTTGGAAAAAATTTCATTGGCAATGGAAATGTGTTGCCATTTAAATTACTAATATTACATGCACTAATATTAGCCAAATTGTATTAATTACATTTTATAATAATATATATTCAAAAAATTGTATTATTAGGGCTCAAAAGGCAGGGTCAGTATTCCCAGAATTGCCTCCTATAAGAAGATGCCACAACTACAAAGTAAATACAAAATATACTTACAGGTGCACTGGATGTGGCTATAGGTACGACAATTAGTAACCACTGTAGTTTACGATTTACTAAGTTTATACAAATTACTGTTTCAGCATTGGTCGACATAGTAAATCACTGGATATTGAACGCAAGAGATGTGGTTATTGTTATGGCGTTTTTGAAATTTTAATTAATAAGATAAATAAGTCTGGGGAAGTACAAAGTGTTCCGGCAACTCCAAAGAAGGAACCAAACCCTTTTGCTTTGTTTGTAAAAAATAATTACGCGGCGTATAAAACGCCTCAGTTGAAACATGGCGATGTAATGAAACTTTTAGGACAAAAGTTTTCAGAAATGAAAGTGAAAAGTACTGACTAAATAATTACGTAATTTTTATTAAAAGACTGAATATGGATAATTTTTAGACTCAATAATTATTAATATTATGTATAAATGTTTTGATGTACATATATATGTATGGTTTACTTACGTGTACTTTTACTTATACTTTTTAAGTTAAAAATGCATTGGATGATTTTTAAAACTATTGTGAATATATTCACTCCAATTAATATCTGTTGTAGTTTTATTTGTTTAAATTTCCACAATACTGGACGATTATAAAGAAAAACAAAAATATTCTCATCTTCTGTAATAACGGAAAATTTAATTTACAAATAAACATCACAATGTTCTCAAATAAAGCTAAAAGTTTTTTGTCAGCATTTTTCGGAAACTATGAAGAAACGTAACGTGCACTATACTATGTAAAAATACCCAAATTAAACGAATATTCAAAACAAAGTGAAAAAGAATTCATTTAAGTCAGCAGTGTTTAGTATTATGAAATCGTAACAATTTCCGTAGGCAGTTTATGCATTAAATAAACATAAATAAATTATTTTATTAATATCGAAAAGTGTAGTAGTTACACTATAAACTTCGACTCACATTGTAATAGTTCTGTCTTTGATTACAGCGCATTCGCTCAATTTCGCGGGAATGTGTGTTAATTCGAATTTAAAATAAAAATTATAAAATAGTGCTTGTGATTGGTTCCACTTCATATAGGCAACCCAATGTACTACAGAGTATTCACATCGTCGGCATAGTTAGTAGCAGTTCTATAATAAAAACGATATTTTTAAATTGAGGGTTGAAAATGCACCTTGATAATTTTTAACAATAAAATTAATTTCATTGATTACTTACATTAACTTTAATACATTTTTGTACCTACTTAGAAATAGAAATGACATTTTTAAATTAGGGGTTGAAAATGAACTACGATAATATACAACTAGAAAATTCATTTCAGTGTTGCCTGACAACATTTCTAATATATTTTGGCACTTCTATCTCCTTTAATAAAAGGTGGAATTAATTTATTAATATATAAAAACGACGTTTTTAAATTGGGGGTTGAAAGTGTACCCAAGTATAAAATTCCTTTCACTGATGCCTCACAAGAAGTTTACTACTATTGTTCAACCACTTCTAGCTTGTTTAATAAGGGAGAAAGTAATATATATATGTATATAAAAAACGATGTTTTAAATTGGGGGTTGAAACTGCACCTTCGTTATTACTAATTATGAAATTCTCTTCACTGATGCTCTGCAACAGTTTTAATACATTCTAATACTTTCAGCTGATTTTATAAAGGAAAAATTAATTAATCAGCAGATAAAAACAACGCGTCGTTTTATAATTGGGGGTTGAGAGTGCACCTAGGTAATTTCCAACTAAAAATTCTGTTCACTGATACTTCCCAACAATATTAACACTTTCAGCTCATTTAATAAGAAAGAAATTAATTTTAAATTAAAAGGAAATGTATAAATATGAGTTGTACTTTTCTAATGTAGCGTGGATGATTTGGAAAGAATAATTCCTGAGTAACAAATTGTAGTGTCCACTTCCTTAATTAAATAAAATCCTACCTTTCTTTATAAGCATGTGCCGATGACGTCAAAAATACTCTCATGATAGTGGTTTGTAAGGAATTTTCCTTCATAGGCAAATTGTTAAGAATGCTGAAACAAAAATAATATTGTTTAGCTGCAGTATAATACAAAAATAGTTTATTGTTGTTGTTTGTTATTTCAAATGTAAAATACAAAATAGATTTCCCTTTTTTGTAGTACACCTATTTAATTTTCTAAGTTTACTGAAGTATAAAATATTATTTAAGAAATTTTTTTAGATATTAGAGTTTTTCTAGACTAATAGTGGTGTTTGCACTATATCACCAGCTGCGAACATTAAGTATGATTTATATTTTTTTGTTTGAAGTGATTGAGATATA